CCAGGGGATCTCCATCACTAACTGGACTTTTTTGTTTCTGCTGCACAGCTTGGCTTGTTAGATCTTAGTTCCCTGACCAGGGATTGAACCCCAGCCCTCAGAAGTGAGAACACAGATCCTAGCCATTGGACAGCCAGGGAAGTCCCCTGAAAAGAATTCTTTATATGGCTTTGCTGTAGGATGTGTGATTGCTCTTTACTTTTATGTGCATTTTTTCTGATTATAATAGTAATATATGCAGTATATACTCGTGAAAATTCTGGAAAAAGACATCATCATCTCTGTCCAGAAAACTTTATCCTTGTTGAATTTCTGTTGCAACTGTCTTGTTCCTTCCCTCTTGTTTCTCTTGGTCAGACTTGTATGCATGATTTCTTAAAACTGAACTTACCTTTTCCCCTGCTGCATACTAACAGCTCACCTGCTTTTGTCGGTGTCTCACTAAAAGGTGCTACTCTTTATCAGGTTGCTATAGCCATGAGGAGCCATCCTTGACTCCCTCCCTCAACCTCCATTTATAATCAGTCGCTAAATAAAATGGTGCCTATTTTTCGTTTCTGATCCATTTACTTCTGTCTCTTCAGCTTAGCTGGGATGCTCATTATTTCTCAGCTGCCTGAGTTTCCCCAAAAGCATCATCTAACTTTTGAACTCCTAGGACTTTATCTTCCTTCGTGGCTTTTCTGACCTGTTTGTCTGCCCTCCAGACTGAACTTGGTACTGACAGTCCCTCTCCCCCTTTCACACTCTCCTTCCTCCTCTGTCCTCTTCCTCCACCTTCTGCCCTCAGGGACTCTCACAGCACCTGTACCGCCCCTTGTAACACATTTCGCACTCTATATTGTAATTGCCTATTTGATTTTACTGTCTCCTTAAACCGTGTTCGATCCCTGGGTCAGGAAGTTCCCCTGGAGAAGGAAATGGCAACCCACTCCAGTGTTCTTGCCTGGAGAAGCCCATGGGCAGAGGAGCCCGGCGGGCCCCAGTCCATGGGGTTGCAAGAGTTGGACATGACTTAGTGACTAAACCAACCAAGTGCAGTAACTGTGTCTTATTTATAACTGCACCACTAAATTCCAGCCCAGAGTGTTTATTAATAAATTTTGGATAATAAATGGATAGAAAGAAATGGGTGGCAGTTAGTATGAAAAAAGTTTGAAGCTGTTTCCTTAGTTTTATGGCTCTGCCTATCTTAAAATCTGTATCTTAGGTGATACATTTGGCTTTCATCTACGTGGTCCTGTGTTAATGGCCTGTGAACAAGCTTCCAAAGTTTGAATTATGAAAGGGCAGGAGTGGGCTCCATGACCTTGCATCTCACTGATTCAAGGGGTTAGGCTTTTAGCTAAGAGCACTGTAGAGAGAAAATATGGCAGCCAAAACTCGGGATGAACAAGAGGAGGAAGCCATTTTTAGCTTTAATGATGGGAGGAGGAGCCGAAGTGATTTCGACTCTTCTGGAGTGGTTGACTAGGTACTTGGTGATGTCATTAAGTAGTCGCTTTGATTTTGGGGATTCTTTTTGACATCCAGGTGAGTATGTCTGTCAGGCATGTCATAGCATATGAAGCTTGAGAGAGCATACCACTGGAGCGCCATGAGTCTGTGCTCATTAAAACTGTGAGGTCATTTAGATATATAGCTTAAGAGTAATAATGGTCTAGAGAGAGAACTCTGAGGAATACATCACTGTTTAAAGGCTGGAGAAGAAGAGAGCTGGGAAAGTGAACTCCTCAGTGCAGAGAAACTGAAGAGCTGGAGTTGGACAGAAATTTGGCAATAAAATGGCCATTGACTTTTGTGTGTGTGTTTTAATGAGAATAAAAAATAAAAAGATGGGTCTGTCTTTACCTGTCTGTCCGAGTAGATGCTTCAGTGTGGACTGAATGGTGTTGGGCAGTTCCACCTCACACCTGTCAGTAGCCCAGCCCCCCAGCCCAAACCAGAACCCCACTGACACTCTTGCATCTAACACATGACCGACCTTTAAATTCTCTTTCAAATTAAATCTAAGGTTAAAAACAGATTCTTGGCCCAGTCCCAGAAATTCTGATTCAGCAGGCACAGGGATCTTAATTTTTTTCAAGGACATTTCTGAGCATCTAACAAACACTCATGTGTGGGTAGGTGCTATAACCCACATTTTATTTAATTGCAAGGAATCAGGAGTTTATTGTGGTGAACTTTTAAAATACAGTTGTATGAAGAGATTGGCAACCATGGAAATCTGACTGGAGCTTCCTGCAGTGCCTGTCTGTATTTAAGAGAGTGAGATGGGGTGGGCAGACACCACTGTCTGACATAATCCCTCAGAAATGTAAAATTTTTATTTTATGGATTTTTGCAGTAGATGCCCTCTATCATCCTTGTGCTTCAACACTGACTTCAACCCAAACTCTCAATTTTTGCAAGTTTCTCTGAGTCTTGCCAGCATTTTACTGTCTCAGGGCCTCCAACCCCAGCAAAGGAAGGGCAAGCGGTTAATACCTCAGCCATCCTTCAAACAGTGGAGGATTCCAGCCTGTGCCTAAAGGTTCTGCTTCCTTTGGGGGTCCCACAGAATCACCATTTACTCTCAGCAGTCACCCTGGTTGCATCGAATGACCTTACTGGCTTTTTTCCTTCACTGTTGGACCTCCCCTCACTCCTGTTCAGTGGGATCATCTACTTTAATCCTACTAAAACCTTGTCTATTAGTAATGTGTTAGTTGAGCTGACTTTGCAGGTTAATATACACAAACAAAAGCCTTCTGTAATCACATTAGTTTCTTCCAAATATCGCTGTCTATCAATAATAGCACCTAAAATAACTGTGTGGGGGAGGAAGGCGAAGAGAACATAATGTGCAGTGCAGAATGGCACACACATGCTGAAGTTTAAATTTATTCACAGGCATTCTGTAATGAGATCATTATGTGTGAATTAATTGGATTTTTCAACACCTCAATTTCTTAACATTTTACATGGAAGGGATTGAAGAGATATGAAAAACCAGAAAATTGTTGACACAGAGAGAGGGCACTAGGAATATAAGAGAGGCCTCTTATATTCATTTTATTTGTATATATCTTTATTGTCTTCTTAAGGAATTCTGGGTAACTCCTTGTAAAACTGACTTACAGAATCTAATGATTCTGTATTCTATAAAATATAAAGCTGTTAAAAATGCTTCAATGCACACAAGGAGGTGATCTCAACAAATGTAGACTGTAATTGTCAAAGATCTGAAACAAATCAACCTGATCTATTTCAGGGTATCGTTACTTTGTGTGCCTTAAAAGTAAGGTTTCTCTTTACCTAGCTGGAAGATATTCATATCCATATTTCTTCCTTTGGCTGAGACTGGACTCTAGGAATTAAATTTGAAATGAAAAGTAAATATGTTCTGGATGATCACTTTCATTCTTGATGGATAACATTGCTATCTGAAAGCAATCACTATGAAGGCTGCCTGTGCAGGCCCTGGGTAACTGTTACGGAGCGAATGAGAAAGGGATGTGACGGACTGCCCCATGTGTGTGGCTTAGACTGTATTCCTAGGAACAAGAGTGGGTTGAGAGCCCACCTGTGAAAGCCCTTGCTTCACTCCCACCAATCTGTGACTTCAGGTGTTCATTTTGGGCTGTAGGTTTATTTTTTGGGAGACCAGGCATCCCAACAAGACTTGTTTTTCTCAATCCGTGGTGTTCTGTGTAGCAGTGGGATATCTTGACATACAAACTAACAAAAATCATTAAATAATCTGGTATCCCAGTTCAGTTCAGTTGCTCAGTTGTGTCCAACTAACTCTTTGCGACCCCACTGACTGCAGCACGCCAGGCTTCCCTGTCCGTCACCAGCTCCTGGAGCTTACTCAAAACTCATGTCCATCGAGTCAGTGATGCCATCCAACCATCTCATCCTCTGTCGTCCTCTTCTCCTCCTGCCTTCAATCTTTCCCAGCATCAGGGTCTCTTCCAATGAGTCAGTTCTTTGCATCAGGTGGCCAAAGTATTGGAGTTTCAGCTTCAGCATCAGTCCTTCCAATGAATATTCAGGACTGATTTCCTTTAGGACACAGTGTTTGGATCTCCTTGGAGTCCAAGGCACTCTCAAGAGTCTTCTCCAACACCACAGTTCAAAAGCATCAATTCTTTGGCGCTCAGCTTTTTTTAGAGTCCAACCCTAACATCCGTACATGACTATTGGAAAAACCATAGCTTTGACTAGACTAGTATCCCAACCCCTCAAGTTAACATTTCAACTCAGACCCGGAGAGGAAGTGACTTACCCAAGGTAAAATCACCCTGTCTAGCCATTAGTGATATGACAAGGACTAGAACATGTATCTCTAAATGTAATTATCTTTGTGATTTATAAAATGGTTCCCATCTCCATCCCTGGCCAGGGAACAAAACAGGAACTTTTTTCCTGAACCAGTGAATTAATGAAGATTGTGGACTTTGTATTTTATTTGCAGAAAATTTGACAGTTAAGAGCTTATACAGATAGATTGTTAGTTATAGATGTCTAAAATATTCAACAGTAACAATAGGTTAGAAATCAATATAACAATTCTGATACACTGTTTTGCAATCAATAAAATGCTAGTTATGGTGACTTAGAAAAGCGTTAATATACCAGGGATTTTGGATGGATTTCTTTTATACCATTGTTTCTTCTATACTGTGTCTTATTAGTAAGTTCAAATTTTTTTACATTTAAAGTACTAATTTTATGTATAGAATGTTAATTAATGCCAGCCTGAAATTCCTTTAGTCTAGTCACTCAGTCTGAAATTTATTTTCCAGCATGTAAACCAGGGAAAATAGTTGTTTTTGCTTTTGTTGTTCTTGATTTGTATATGAAAAACTAGCGGAAATGAGAATTGGTAGAGATTTAGCAAACTGAAAGATGTTTCTATTACTTGCTAGAACCATGCGAGTATAAGTTTTTTTTTAAAAAAGCTTTTCTAAAAATAAAATCAGACTTTTAATCAAATGTGTATTTCCTTCTTGTAGAACCTCTGTTATGCACCTTAAGCCATACTGGAAATTCCAGAAGAAAGGGCAACCTCTGGAAATCGGCACAGAAACTCTGAGAACTCCTATGAGCCACCAACAGGCCATCAGCGATGAAGAATGCAAAGCTAGCTGTATGAAACCAAGTGTCTTTCCTTCAGCCTCTCTTGGTAAAGCATCATCTCGAAAGCCTTTTGGAATCCTTTCTCCAAATGTTCTGTGCAGTATGAGTGGGAAGAGTCCTGAAGAGAGCAGCTTGAATGTTAAAACCAAGAAGAATGCACCATCTGCAACAATCCACCAGGGTGAAGAAGGGGAAGGGCCACTCGATATCTGGGCTGTTGTGAAACCGGGGAATACCAGGGAAAAGATAGCATTCTTTGCAGCCCACCAGTGCAGTAATAGAATAGGATCTATGAAAATAAAAAGCTCCTGGGATATTGATGGGAGAGCTACTAAAAGAAGGAAAAAATCAGGGGATCTTAAAAAAGCCAAGATACAGTTAGAAAGGATGAAGGAGGTCAACAGTAGATGCTACCAGCCTGAGCCTTTTGCATGTGGCATCGAGCATTGTTCTGTGCATTACGTGAGTGACGGCGGGGACGGCACGTATGCCGGGAGGCCTCTATCGGTCATACAGATGGTCGCCTTCCTTGAGCAAAGAGCCAGCGCTCTGCTAGCCAGTTGTGCGAAAAACTGCACTAACTCACCTGCTGTGGTGCGGTTTTCCGGGCAATCCAGAGGTGTACCTCCAGCCCCCGAGCCTTTGTCCGCCCCAGGAGCATGTGAAGAACCTGCAGAAAGGAGAAATCCTGAGGTTGGTGAACCACAGAGCGAGCCCGTCCGTGTCCTCGACATGGTAGCCAGGCTGGAGTCCGAGTGCCTGAAGCGGCAGAGCCAGCGAGAGCCCGGGAGCCTCTCGAGGAATAACAGCTTTCGCCGCAATGTGGGCCGCGTGCTGCTTGTGAATGGCACCCAGGCTGAGGAAAGCAAAGCAGAGAAAGGCGCCTTGGAGGTTCCTGACACTCAGGTGAAAACTGTGGGGTCTGTATCTGGGGGCTGCAGCCCCTTAAGAGCTGACCGTTGTTCTCCTCAGGGGGACCAGGCCTGGGACAGTGCGCCTCGAGGTTGTCCCTCGTTGCCGGCAGGCATGAGTTTGCACACGGACAGTGCAGAATTAGAGCCAGATCAGCAGACTGCCATGAAAAGCAGCAACAGGCACGATGTGGAAATGACAGAGGAACTTGCTGGGCCACCCTTTCCTCCTCGCACCTGTCCCCAAGCCATTGAATTGCCCACAGATGCTGTTGATGGCATTAGTGAAGAGCTTGTGCCACTTGCTAACCAAAATCCTGATCAGCGCAAAAAAGAATCTTTGTGCATTAGTATCACTGTGTCCAAGGTGGAGAAAGACCAGCCTTCCAGTTTGGAGTCCTGTGAAGACCCACTTCCAGGGATGTTGTTTTTTTTGCCATCTGGTCAGCACCAGTCAGGCCATTCCAAGTCAAATGAAGCCACAACAGAAGAGTCTTCTGAGGCCAGTCAGCTTGAAGAGGTTGCTGAAGGTGACAGCGCATCTGAGGAAAAAAGTGTCTCGGTTGATTCATTTGTCCCACTGGCCTCTCCTGTGGAAAGTACATTATCAATGCTTGAGGCGTCCAGCTGGAAGAAGCAGGTGTCACATGACTTTCTGGAGACCAGGTTTAAAATCCAACAGCTTTTAGAGCCTCAGCAGTATATGGCTTTTCTGCCCCACCACATCATGGTGAAAATCTTCAGGTTACTTCCTACTAAGAGTTTAGTGGCTCTTAAATGTACCTGCTGCTATTTCAAGTTTATCATTGAATATTACAATATCAGGCCGGCAGACTCTCGCTGGGTGCGGGATCCACGCTACAGGGAGGACCCGTGCAAGCAGTGCAAGAAGAAGTACGTGAGAGGGGATGTGTCTCTGTGCCGGTGGCACCCCAAGCCCTACTGCCAGGCGCTGCCCTACGGCCCGGGCTACTGGATGTGCTGCCACCGGTCTCAGAAGGGCTTCCCTGGCTGTAAGCTGGGGCTCCATGACAATCACTGGGTCCCTGCCTGCCACAGCTTTAATCGGGCAATCCATAAGAAAGCAAAAGGGACTGAAGCTGAGGAGGAGTACTAAAGTATATGTGCGAGGCAACAGACCAATTTCAGAAACTGCAAACACCACCTAGATACACCATCTCAGTGAGTGTTGCCTCTCAGTCATCACTCCAGGAGAATCTCTGCTACTCCATCAGGACCGCCATTGCTCAGGCATCTTAAATCTCTGAATTTATGATCTGTATAAGAAAACTGGTCTCATCATTTTATAGTGGTGCCTCACGTTTGATTCAGGGTTGTATCCCACGGTTTGATTCACCTGGCTGTGAATAACTGTGCCTGTTTTCCCAAGTCAAGTCCTTGAGGACGAAGACTGGCCACCATCAAGTGCGTCACAGACTATGCAGGCAGTCCCCGAAAAGGGGTTCCGGGAATGTGTCGAGCACTGGCCCCGTATTTGAAATAAGTGAATAGTGTCCTATGAGAAGAATAGCAGTACTCTTGGATGAAAAGTATGCTTACAAAGGACAAGTCAGGCACCTTACTTAGACCTTGTATGCTTGATCTGTGAGGTTGATGTTTGTGAGTGGAGACAGATTTCATGGCCTGTGGTGTTTACAGTGTATATAATGGTTGTGTTTTCCTAGGGCTATGAAAGTGCACATTCAAACCCGCGCGCCTTTGCTTTAGATGAGTGCTTTGGCCCCTCTGTAAATAACACCATTAAAATCCAGTTGTAAATAGTGGACGCTGACTGAACATAATCACCACAATGCAGCTAGGATAGCGTTGCAGCTACAATCGTGTGGGTTGTTTTGGTTTCTTTGGGGTTGGGGGGGGTCTCATCTCAAATTTGTACATCCTGTATAAAATATGAATGTTTCCCAAATAAACTATGAATGTTTTCTGTATAATATATGAATGTTTCTGAGAAGAAACTCTAAATAGTTAAGAGGTTAACCTGTTGAAAGGATACCAAATAATGGTTTAACTGGACAACCTTAAAAACTAGCATAGAGAACAATCCTTTGTTATATTTTAGTGATTCACCAAGAATGAGAGAATATTATATAGTCAGATTATAACATTTTTGTCTATTTTATTCTTTCTGTCTGGTTACAAATTTTTTTTAACTTCAATAAAAACATGCATCTTAAGTGGAACTTGAGTTTTGCAGATTTGTTTTCTTTTTTGAGGTAATACTAGAGATACTATAAACTGAGTCCTAAGAATTTGTTTAAAAAATTGAGTTGTTGGGAGGGGGAAAGAGAATTCTACAATTGGAAAGAGGCCATCTTAACAATGTGAGCTTACATTTTTACAGACCTTTAACACTTATTTTGCTTTCATCTGCCCAGGACTGCCTTTATTTCCTGTTGGATGAGGCGTTATTATCTACGCATGGTGAGTTAATTGTTTTGAAGTCAGTGAGGATACATTCAGACCTGTGTTCATGTAATGCTTGGTGGGGCTGGGAAGTATCTGGCCCCAGAAAGCTGCTGTGGAGGACCTGCAAGCTCGGTCGGCTTGAATTGAGTAAGCCACCGACACAGCCTTGCAGCCACCAGCTCCGGGCTGGCAGGAGGCCCTGGTGAGGGTTCCGGCGGCGGGGCCGACGGCAGCGATGATCGGAGAAGCATGTGACGGTGGAGTGAAGCTTTGGCCAGGACTGCCTAGCAGGGGGCAAGGCTGGGGTCGAGGGAGCCAGGTTCACCTGTGGCGGAGGTGGTGCGGCCACAGGGCGGCTGCTTTCTGCCCTTACCCTTAGGCAGTAGCTGCTCCTCCCTGAAAAGGGGAAACTAAAACTAGGAGGTGCCTCTGGATGCTGAGCAAGCAGGCACATCAGGATACCTCCGACAGGACCAGACGAGGCTGAGGAGGCGGACTTCCCCCTCAGGACGTTCGTGTCCTTCCTCGTGACTCACCCCAGCCGACGTGAGGGCGAACGCTTTCCCTCCCCAGGGCTGAAGTTTCCAGTACGCACGGGCCTCCCCTGTGGTTTGCTCCGCAGCGGCTGTCTCAGGGTACCTCCCTGAAGTCGTGGGCTGGTTTCACTCCTGACTCAGGAGTAAAGGTGTGCGCTCGCGGGACTTCATACAGCGCGGTGTGCAGAAAGTGCCTGGAGTGCGTCAGCTTTCACTGTTATTGGTGCCTGGTTCTACATGTGCCCTGCGTGCCTCTCCCAGGCCAGCCATCCTGGATCTGGTTTCACGTGGGACACAAAGCTGTTGACTGTGAGGGCCTGGACTGACACAGAGCAGAAGACAAGGCAGCCCAACCCCATTTGGCGTGCAATTCTTGGGGTCCTCAGAAATCACCGATGACCCCTTTTGAATCCGATGCAAGACCCAGTTCCCAGGACTGTCTGTGTGACTGGTAAGAGAACTTTGGCAGGTGGCGTCAGAGGGCGCCTCCTCCCTGGTCTTCGTTTCTAGACAAGGGTAGCTTTTCCCCTTAGGAGAGAGATGCTGTGCTTCAGAGCCCCCTAGTGCCAAGCTGGGGAAACCAGTTCACTCACTTCAGCACTGCAGTGCTCCCTGCCTGACTGCAGAATCCTAGACTCACACGAGAGGAAATAATGTGGGCGTGAGGACCCCAGGCTCACCCAAGCTCCGCCCCCGTGGGGACCCAAATAAAGAACACTTACCCCGTCAGCTTTTGCTTAGAGGGTCTGAAATACTTGGCCTAGCAGCTCTCTCCCACCCCTCACTTCACCGTTTGAAAGGAAATCCAGAAAGGGCAAAAGGGCCAAGGTTAAAACATTTTTTTCAGGCCTTGTCAAAATGCCTCTGGCGTTAATATGGCCATGTAGAAGGCTCATTCACAACTGAGCACGTTCCCTGCCCTAACACACTGACAACTGCACAGGCGGCGGCTCCTCGGCAGCCCCCACCTGCCCTGCCCAGCTGGTTTGCCAGGTAGTTCCTCTCTGCTGCCTCTTGTGTGCCTGGACCTTGCTCTGCAACCCCACTCAGGGCTCATGAAGGGCGGCCTGGCCAGGCCACCTCTCAGGGCCTCACACCCAGTACACACACATGCCATAAAGTGTTTATAGTCTGACTGCGCTCTACTGTATGTAACTCCTGGTATAAGAAACGTGAAGAGGGATGAAGGGGCCTGGGAGGATCTTTTCCTCTGGCCACAGCTGGTCCCAGGAAGCTTTCTTGGTTAGGGTCGCTTCCGTAGCAGCCCTTGCAGTCTTGCTGGGTGCTGTCAGCTGTGTTTGGTATGATCTGGGCTTTGTCATGTCTTCTCTGGCAGCAGGTTCCTTTGGGCTTCCTGACTGCAGAAGGTTGTGAGTTGATAGTTAAGCTTGATCTCAGAGTTCCCTTCCTGGACTCTGTCCAACCACCCTTCTAACTTGGACTTGTCAGGGCCTCCCTGCCAAACTTTATGAACTGGACTCAGATTTTTTATTATGTGGGTCTTCCTGGGCATTTTTTTCCCCCCACTGCTTTAATAGCCTCTATTCGTTCTTGACTCAGCAGACTGGCTATTCTTCCTCTACCTCCCACAGCCTACCTCAAAAAGACTAAAGCCCATCTGTGCCAAAACCCTGCTGTACCATAGACTGCACCAGTAACCAGAGCTGGCATTACCTAGCCCTTACTGTCAGGCACCATGCCGTGTTTACATAAAGGCATTCTCTGCCATGCACAGCAACCGGCACTTAGGCAATCTGAGTTTCTATCCCGGGTGTCGCTTTGGGTTCAGACAAGCTAGTGCTGCAATCTCCGTGACTGGCAAAAGGACCTTCATGGGAAATGTGCAGTCCCTTCTATGACATGCACCGAAGCGTGTGGCCATAGTTGGTGTCTGCATAGCCTCATGGGAAGAGCAAACATCACTGTGGTTAGGAACCCTTGGGGGACTTCCAGTGTATATACATCTAACTGGTTTAAGCAAAACCCAGTTAGGCAGTAACACCTATTCTAGGTGGTTTGCTTGACCTGGTATTATTCAATATCTCAGATGGTAAAGAATCTGCCTGCAATGTAGGAGACCTGGGTTTGATCCCTGGGGTGGGAAGATCCCCTGGAGAAGGGAATGGCAACTCACTCCAGTCTTGCCTGGAGAATTCCATGGACAGAAAAGCCGGGCAGAAAAGTACATATACACCATGGAATATTACTCAGCCATTAAAAAGAATTCATTTGAATCAGTTCTAATGAGATGGATGAAACTGGAGCCCATTATACAGAGTGAAGTAAGCCAGAAAGATAAAGACCATTACAGTATACTAACATATATATGGAATTTAGAAAGATGGTAACGATAACCCTATATGCAAAACAGAAAAAGAGACTCAGATGTATAGAACAGACTTGTGGACTCTGGGAGAAGGCGAGGGTGGGATGTTTCAAGAGAACAGCATCGAAACATGTATATTATCTAGGGTGAAACAGATCACCAGCCCAGGTTGGGTGCATGAGACAAGTGCTCGGGCCTGGTGCACTGGGAAGACCCAGAGGGATCGGGTGGAGAGGGAGGTGGGAGGGGGGACTGGGATGGGGAATACATGTAAATCCATGGCTAATTCATTTCAATGTATGACAAAACCCACTGCAATGATGTAAAGTAATTAGCCTCCAACTAATAAAAATAAATGGAAAAAAAGAAAAAAAAAAAAAGTCCATGGGGTTGCAAAAAGTCACACAACGACTGAAGTGAATAACACATACATACATAATCTTAAAGGAGCAGAGCCACTAAAATCAGCAGTTGGGAAGGGAGTGGGAGCACAGAGATGCCCATATTCTCTGCTACAACAACCCTGGTGAGACGTGGTGGTCCTCTGATTGAAATGCAAAGTGAAACCTTCCCCTCTTAAAGGTCCCTCATCTCCTCTTCACTTAGTAGAGAACAGACCTCAGAACAAACTAGTTTTGGGACCTGTTGTCTCAAATTCTTTTTGGATTAAGATTCTTTTAAGGCTATAAAAGTTTAAAATTAGAAACCTCTACTTAAATGTTTTGCTTTTCTCTTTGGAATGACAAAACCCAGCAGGGATTAGGTTCAGAAGTCAGCCTTTATGGAGAAAATGGCATACAGCTGAAATGAAGTCCTGCACGTCCATCTCCCACCAGCAGAAAAGGATACATACCAGGCACAGTGGTGGGAAATGTGCAAGTCCTGTAAAGGGACTTGTGCTTGCTGAGTGATGAGCAAATCATGTCTCCTAATTAACTCGGGCAGAATCACTTGTGCTATTTTAATTATTTCCCTCCTTTATGTCCACCTCCCCTACCACCCCCATCAGAGAATAAAACTGCTTTACTAACTGGTATTTTTAGATGTCTATTAAGTAGTATGAAGAAGTTGATAGAAGATTCAAAACCAGATTCAAAATCGACTATTTGCCAATCAGTAAAATGCAGAGCAAAGTTGTTTCTGTTAGTGCCCTATCCATTAGGAGGGGAAACGGCCCTTCTGTGTAACTGCATATTTGCAGCCCAGTGGGAAGGCAGGGATGGACGGGACTCTCTTCTGGGACAGAGCCATTGACAACCTCTGCTCTTCCTCACCAAGTCTCCTGTATGGGTAGCCAGGCACGATTCTGCTGCAGGGTGTGTGGCCTGCCACAAACAATCCTTCTACCCCAGCCTGGATTGATTCTTCTCCTAAGCAGAGATAGTGCTCTGGCTGCCCTGGCATCTAGGCTGGGACCTCTCAGCCCATCTTTTCCCAGGTCAGCAGTCTCCCTTCAGGCTTCCAATGTGTGCTCTGCTGAGGCTCTTTATTGCATACCTTCTCAGCAGGACTGTGGACACACCCCAGAAGAGAGTGAATTCAAGGAGGGTTTAAGTGTAAATAAAGGGATAACCCCTCCCCAGCTTTTGTGGCCCAGGGCAAGAATACAAATGAACGCTCCTACAGCCTCCCCACAACAGCCCCGCCGTTTTAATATTTTTCACACTAATTAGATGAAATAGTATTTGGGGGTATCTTGAATTAAACTGTATTATACATTTTACCAATTTCTTCTTACCTTTTTAATGAGACTACCAGAAAGTTTAGAATCACATATGTGGGCTACAATAAATATTACACTGGACAGCACTGCTATAAGGTGAGTGTTTCTAAAACATTAATGCACATATGTTTTGGGCACTAAAGGTCTTGGTCAAGAGCATTCCAGGCCTCAGCAGACTTTTTCTCCAAG